ATGAGCATCTCTCAAAATGTCCTGTAATGGTGGTGGGTTATCTGGCCTCCTTATCAAGGAAGCTGAGGAGACCCCACCAGATGGACTTGAGCCAGTGTCCAGTCTATAAAGAGGAGGGTCAACACGGAGGAATCATTTCCTCCATGCTTCCAAGAGGAGCCAACAATGGTCGAGCAGGACCTTTGACTTATCCTCACATGGATGGAGCTGGTAAAAGAAAGGAGCCAGGGGCTCCTCCCAACCCCATGGGACTCCTGAGGAACAAATCCTCTAACGACCTCAAGAGTAAAAACAAATCAGTTTATCTGGTCCAATTGTATGTCCTTAAACACCCAAAACGAAAGGATAACCAAAGATTAAAGGGGCCAATATAATTTCATAAGAGTCCATATATATAGCTAAAGGCTATATAACAAGCAACAATACCAGACAGGCGATACCTTCTTTTGAGTTGTTGGCCAGGGTGGCCAAAGGGATTCCCAGATAGTACCCAACATAGAACTGGGGAACTGAACAGCAGACCCCAATCTTGTCCAAAGGAATATTGACAACTGATTACTGCTAGATGAGGAACAGCTGACCCTCCTAAAACAAAGACCTCTAGATAGGCTGACTAGATTCACCAGAAGGGCAAGTAGTGGGGAATGGCTGGGGGTGCCGACAACACAGCAGACAGTAGCAGGGGTATCAGGCTTTGTATTTTTAATTCATTTTACTAGCAGTGTTTTTAGTTTTATATTGAATGTTACTATTTCAGTCCTCTGAAGAGCTCAGAATCAGTGACTTTGTAGACTTAATAGGTCATTAAGTTCCTCCTTTCTCTACCTTAAAATGATAGTTTTCTCACTATTGAGACAAGTTACAATAGTGCAGTGACTTCTTTCTGGAACTCACTATGTAGATCACACTGGCCTTGAACTCCCAGAAATCAAAGCTTACTTCTGGACCGAGTGCTGACATGTGCTGCCATGTCCAGCCACAGTCACTTATTCTTAAGAAAAATATTAGATACAAGTAAAACCAAATGGATTAGCCATTTAAAGTTCTACTTTTAATTTCTTTCAGCATTCTTTTTATTTTTCTTATTTATTTATTTTTATTTTATGTGTATGAGTGTTTTGTCTGCATGTATATAATTGCATGCATGCACTGTCCTTGGAGGCCTGAAGAAGGTGTCAGCTCTCCTAGACCGGAGTTTCAGACAGTTGCTAGCTGCCATGTGAGTGCTGGGAACCAAACCTGGGTCCTCTACAAGAGCAACCAGTGCTCTTAACTGCTGGGCCATCACTCCAGCCCGCATACATTTTTTTTTAAATTAAAATATGGGGTGTTGCGGGTGTCCTGGGACCCTCCAGGCGGGGGCAGAGTCAGCGCAGAGTCACGACACAGACACCAGGAGTCAAGTGAGAAGTAGGCAGTGTGAGCAGCTGCAGACTCATTCATTGCGAATATGGGGCTCCCTTATATCCCCCTTCCCGGTGTCCCATTGGTCCATTGATAGGTCGTGTCTGTTTCTCATTGGCTCTCTGTATCAGGCCATTTTTGCATCAGCCATCTCTATGTCTTTTGGCAGAACACAGGCTTGCCTCAGCCAGATGTTTTGGTGCATTTGCAGCGCTCATGTGCTGGTTGTTCATGCCGCACTTCCTCCTACAATGGGGGGCTGGAGAGATGGCTCAGTGGTTACGAGCATTCTTGCACAGGGCTCAGGTTTGATTCCTAGCACCCACATGGCAGCTACGAACCATCCTTAACTCCAGTTCCAGGGGAATTCGAAGCTTTCTTCTGACCTCTGCGGCACTGCACAACAGGTGCACTCACATACATAAAATAAAAATAATAAAATAAAAAAATATGGGACCTGGAGAGATAGCAGTTAAAAACACTGTTCTTGCAGAAGACCCGGGTTCAAATCTTAGCACCTACATGGCAGCTAACAACTGTCTGTAACTCCATTACCTGGGGATCTGACAGTCTCTTCTGTCCTCCGTAGGCAGTATACAACATGGGTGCACTCACTATATGCAGGAATACACTAATGCACATAAAATAAAAATAATAAATAAAATAATAAAAGAAATCAAAGTATGGTAGAGAAACTAGGTTCACTATGTAAAAGTGATCAGTATAGCAACAGTGTAGTAATAATTATCTTTGACAGTGGCAGACAACATCTTTATATTGAAAACATACTAATTAAATTTAGGATATGATTCTGATTGCTTAAAGTTAAAAACCAGTTGCAGCATAAAACTTCAAATTTCTAAATCTATACATACTATTCATCTTTACATTTAATACTGAGTTTTTTCCATTTTCTCTCTTTTTAAACATTTTTCAAATATTTTATTTATTACTTTTATTTTATGTGTATCAGTGTATTGCCTTCATGTATGTGAGTGCACCTGTGCCGTGCAGTGCCGTGGAGGTCAGAAGAGGCCTTCAGGTTCCCCTGGAAATGGAGTTAAGGACGGTTCATAGCTGCCATGTGGGTGCTGGGAATCAAACCCAGGTCCTCTGCAAGAGCAGTCAGTGCTCTTAACCACTGAGCCATCTCTCCAGCCCCTCCATTTTCTCTTTTTAAGTTTTTATTTTTTGTACTGGGCATAGTGGTATACACCTTTCTTCCCTGGGCTAAGGAGGCACAGATATGAGGGATTTACATTCAAGTCTAGCCTTGCTACTTGATAGGACCCCATCTTGAAAGCTTGCAGAATAAAAGATTATGTCAGACATGTTAGTGTACATCTGTAATCCCAGTACTGCTGAGGCTGAGACATGAGAATTTCCATGTGTTCAAGGCCATCCTGGGCTACCATAGTGAGTTTGCAGCAAGCCTAAGCTACTTTCTCAAAACCAGAGAGTTTTGTTTGTTAATTCTAATGGCATGTAGCTTACCCCCTGAGTCTGTAAATCAGTGGTTTCGATATATTTGTAGAATTGGGTATCCATTACTACACTCAGTTTTAAAGCATTTTTTTTTATCACTTCCCTAAAGCAAACACTCTGCCAAACTTATTTTAGATATTATGGGACTCTTAAACTCTATGAATATTTTAAAATTTTCTTTTGAATTATTTTATCTTTATTTTGTGTATGACTGTTTTACCTCATGTATGTAAGTACACCCATGTTTTGCAGTCCCATAGAGGACAGAAGAGGGCATCAGATTCCCCGAAATTGGAGTTACAGATGGTTGTTAGCCACCATGTGAGTGCTGGGAACCAAACCCAGGTCCTCTGGAAGAGCAGCCAGTGCTTTTAACAACTGAGTCACCTCTCCAGCCCTCCATATAAAATTTAAGATCAGCTTATCAGTTTCTACAAAGAAATTAGCACAGATTTTTATAAGTAATTTACTGAATCTATAGATTAATCTGAAGAGAATTTCCATTCTATTCATATTAAGTTTTCCATTATATAAATTTAAGATGTCTTTCCAATTTAAAGTCTTAAAAATCTCCTATAAGGGTGGTTTGTAGTTTTCAAAATATAACTTTGTACTTCTGTTTTATTCCTATGTACTTTAGTTGTAGTGCTATTATGAAAAGAATCTTTAAACCTTTATTTTTAGTTATTGCAAAAATAAGTTGGTTTTTGTATGTGTATTTAATTCTGAAACACATTGAGTTAGACAAAGAACAGAGTAAAACTTTAATCTCAGTGTACTTCGATATTCAGTCTGATATTCTGTTTTCAATGTAATTACATCTGGATTAAATTTAATTCTAAGATGTTAGCTACACACATCTCTACCATCTTCTCTTTTGTAACCTTTATGATCATGGATATCAGGGATCTGACTACCACCTATCTCTAGTTTGTTGCTCAGTAGATTGGTATATAATTTCTTAATTTTAGGAATCCAATATATTATTGAATTATGTCACCTTTTGATATGGGAATATGAGAACAGATACACTTCTTTTCCAGTCAAAGAGAAATTTATATTCTATGAAGAAGACTTATGGGAACAAAACCCAGTATGTGTCTTTTTTTTTGTTATGGTTCAGTGTAGTTACTACAATAGCAAAGCCCATCATTTTGCATATGCAAGCAGGAAAGAAATCTTCTGAATTTAAAAAGAAAATCATAGTTCTCATCTAGCTATTTAAATTATTGATTGACTTTGTTGCTAATGCTTTAGGTGGAAAGCAAACTGGCATATATCATATACTGTATCTATAAGATCCCAGAAGCTAGATTTTCCAAATTAAAAATGTACAGCTAGTGCTAGAGGAAGGACTAATTTCTCCTGACTTTCTAAGGAAAGCCTAGACCTAACACATAATCTCTAGATAGCTTGCCAATTTTTCATCTTTGATTTTTCCCTTTTTTCTTTAACAGATACCCCTGTGACCTCATTTTAGGCTGTCCTTGATTCCATTATTCCTGATCCAGTTATAGCCACACAGGGATTCCCAGAAGTGGAAAAGGAAGACATTGTGTTACATTCTTAACAGGATCTATGGTGAAAAGTAATTCTCTGTTGGAAGAAGAGAGGGTATGTTGCTTATGCTTGATTTATTTATTTTTTTATTCTAGATTAATCACAAATACCCAGAAAGACGACTACTTGTGGCAGAATCCTGTGGCGCTCTGGCACCCTACCTTCCTGTAAGAATTTTTTTTCCTTTCTTTTTTCTTTTTTGATAGTAGGGAAACTTTTTTGACATTTTAATCCAAATTCTCTTAGCCATGCTATCTTAAAAGTATAAAAGACTTATATTTGAGGAGGAAGCATAAAAATGTACTTCATGTTAAATAGTAGAGGTGATAAACATTACCAGTGAAATCTACCTCATGACTTTATATCCATACTCAGGTACTAAGGATCCAAGTGTAACTGACTGTGACTAGTAATAATCAGATACATGGAGATCAGAGACACATATGCAAACATCTAAGTGTTAGTAGCACTAAAAATGTAGGAAATGGCATATTTTAAAATGAAATGGAGATCTTCTTTAAAGGGTAAAAACTTATTTTATGTCTCATAGGGTTTGGGCTTATACTGAGTTCAATATTGTATAACTGTATTGATTCAACTGTTAATCTAGAAACTTGCACCCACTTGTGAAAGAGATGTACTCTTGCTCTGGAAATTGTTACTGAATATGTTAAAGCTGTAATGAAAAGCTTCTTCTAATCATGTGATTAGTAAATAAAAAAAATTTTTTTTAAAGCATAAGAGATGGGCAAAATCAAGGACAGGCTCACAGTAATACTATATTGCAATGAAGGCTGATATGTACATTAACATTGGTTTTACATGAGTATAAATACATGTTAACTGTATTGATGATTCTCATAGTATGCTCAATAATAAGTCCTTTTTTGTCTTTTTTGCTGTTTATACATACAGTGTTGGTAGAAAAGCAGTGTTGTGCAGAAAAGTTCTGCATAGTACTAATGAGAGTCGTGGCCCTCAAATATGCTAATAATGATTGACTTCTTCACTGCCATACACTTCTAAAACAAGCCAGTTTCATCGTAAAAGGACCATGCTGAACCAGATAAAACAGTTTTTCTGAATTTTAGCACTTGAATCTTTGTAGTTTTCTGTAACATAAAATACAAAATAGTAATAGAAAACCCTTTCACTGTATGCTGAGGTGATAGCTGTTTGTAAGAAAAGCATTTATGCACTTGAGTATTGAGTTAAGTAGCTGCTTTTTTCCATGGGATACAAGTTTTTCTTGACAGAACCAACCACTTACAGTCGAACTGTGATTATTCAGACTTGAGTATATCCGATACATTTTCATTTTCATCAAATAGTTACTTGGAAGAAAACAAGTAGGCAAATTTGCTTCCAGTGATAAAATTGGAGCTTAAATGAGTTCTATAATTTGGAGAAATTTATATATGCCTCTGTACACCTGACAACTTTTCAATGCATAAACTTTTTAAAATATATATATGATCAGTAGATTTTTTAATGGTATAATTAAATTTGCCAATTTTGAACAAAATCTACATAACTTTGTGGTTCCGTTTTTTTTCTCAAATGAGCAGTATATAAGTTAAAGGCATTCAGAGTCTGAGATGGATCAATGAAATTTGAGTATCATCAGGTTGTTCAGGGATTTGTGTGTGTGTGTGTGTGTGTGTGTGAAATCTCTTGCAGCACAAAATAGCCTTGAACTTCATATGTAGAGAATAACCACAATATCTGATCCTCCTGCATCTACCTCCCATATGCTAGGATTACAGGTATGTGTGTGAATATTTTGTCTGCATTCATGTAAGTACACCATGTATATTCAGTGTCTGCAGAGGCTAGAAGAGAACGTCAGATCACCTAGAACTGGAGTTGCAGTTGTTAGCTACTATGTAGGTACTGGGAACTGAACCCAGATACTCTGTAAGAACAACTGGTGCTCTTAACCACTGAGCCTTCTCTTGAGTTCAAATGTTTGTTCATATGCCCCCGTTTCATATGTTTGTTATGTTCATCTGAAAAGACTTTTTTTTAAAAGGTCAAAACAAAAACCAGGTCTTTAAAGAATGACAAATTTTAGTTTGCATGACAAATCATGTTTTACATTTATGAAAAGTGACTTCATCTACTTTATTTTTATTTATTTTATTCTAACTCTTAAATATTTTAAAGGGCCCCAAACAAGTTTAGACGTGTTTAATTTTATAAACTGACCAAATTGCAATAACTACAAAATATGGTTGAATATTAATAGCTTTATATTAACCTCATCCTTTAATTAAGCTGAAAGATTCCGTAACATAACTGGAAACAGTAATGTGGGCTGGAAGTATAGGTCAATGATTAAGCTTTGCCTGGCATTCATACAGCCCTGAGTTTGATTCCCAGTTTAAAATTAAGATGGTTGGGGCTGGAGAGATGATGGCTCAGCGGTTAAGAGCACTGGCTGCTTTTACAGAGGACCCGGGTTTGATTCCCAGCACCCACATGGCGATTAACAACAATCCATAACTCCAGTTCCAGGGGATCTGACACCCTCTTCTCAGCTCCACAAGCATTGCGTGACTCCTGTGCACTTAACATATATGCAGGCAACACACTCATACACATAAAATAAAATAAAACCAATAAAAATAAAGTACTTAAAATTGAAAAGAAAAAAAAAAAGGTCTGGATACTAGAAAAATGACTCAGGTGTTAAGAGCACTTACTTCTGAGACCCAAGTTTGGTTCCGGCAATCCTGTCAGATGAGTGGCACCCATGTCAGGTATCTAACTCCAGCTCTAGGGGACCTGACACCTTTTTAGGCTTCTCATATGCTGAATTCACATATGAAAACCTACATTCACACACACGCACACACACACACTTCAAAAGTAAAAATAAAGCTGGACCTGGTGGCACACACCTTTAATCTCAGCACTTGGGAGGCAGAGGCAGGTGAATCTTTGTGAGTTCCAGGCCAGCCTGGTCTACATAGAGAGTTCCGAGCCAGCCAGGGTTACGTAGTAAAACCTGTCTTCAAAAAAATTAAATATAAACAAAAATTTTAAAAATCTGTGACACAGCAGTGGTTGACATTGTATTAAATATTTCCTTAAAGTTGTGTAAAGTTCATTCATGTGTTTTATTAAATTGTTTGAATTCATTTTCTCACTGTCACCAGAGTTCTTTCTGGGTCTCTTGCACTATCAGGCAAACCATATAACATATCTTTATGTATATTTATTATCGTGGGCCAAGGAGTGACTTAAAAATGAACACCCAGTGCCTAGCTCCACACTGCTCAGCTCCAGACCACCCAGCTCTGCACTGTGGCTCAGAGCCCACCATACCAGATCGCTCCCACGGCACACCTATAGTCACCCCTAGCTTTTGTCCACACCTCAGGGGCCAGCGGTCTTGCCCCAGGTCTGTAAATGCCAGGCCATTCTGTCCTTGAGTACTCCCGGCTGCTGTGCGTTCCCCACACCTGCCGCCATGGGCGCTCCTGGCAGCTTGTAGCTTCTGTCCCAAGAGGGCACCACAAGCCCCTCCTTCAGCAGCTAACTCTCCACAGTCAATTCTCTGCAGCAGGCCCCACCCCTTAGAGGAACCTGAACCCCTGGGGAACACACTTATAAAATAAAAAAGAAATGCCAGGGTTTTAGAGTTTCCTCATCCAGCCCCAGTTAAATGTTTTAATTATAAGAGTAATTTCTCCATTATAACTTGAAGCATATTTCTCTGAGTTGCACAAATAGTGACAGAGGAGGCATTGTCCATTTGTAAGTGTTCACTTTGTTCATTTTTTAAATATGTCTGTGTGTGCTGTAAGGATGTGAAGAATTTTTACATTTTCAGGAAATAAAAACATGCTGAGGAATGAGTAATACCAGATTCAGAGAGAATGTTCTTAAAAAGGTAGATGGAAGGGGGGGGTTGAATAGAAAAATATTCTGGATGTGTAACATTTTATATCTTTGAAAAAATAGGTTTTGAAGCAAACAGCAAAGTGTTAATGTCTGCTTAATCTGGATTTTTTAATACATGGAGTACCTGATAGTTTCCAAACTTTCACTTTAGTTAAATAAACAGTAAAAACATATTGCTTATTTTCAGAAAGAAATCCGGAGTTCCTTGGTTCTTTCAATGTTGCAACAGATGTTAATGGAAGATAAAGCAGATTTGGTAAGAGAAGCTGTGATCAAAAGCCTGGGTATCATTATGGGATACATTGATGATCCTGACAAATATCAACAGGTATGCTTTTCAAAGTGGTTTTTTTTTTTATCCCATTATACATTCCGAACAATAGAGAATTCCCTATCACTGATTCACATACTACATAATCTGTAGGAGAGATGATATGCATCAGCTGTCATCAGCTGGAAATGACTGCCTGGTTTCAGTCTAGCTGCTCCCCCAGGAAGTTGGAAATAAGTATGCTGTGTTTCCCACCCCTTCTCTGGGTTGCTCTTTAGTGAATATATAACACTTAAGAAAATAAGAAGGACAGGATTATAGGTGGTCCCCCTGTCTTGCTTAAAACATTTTCTAAGTTTCTTGAAGTATTTATTCCAGTTTATTGAGCTTTTTCAATAAAAATCTCCATTTTACTGTTTGTCCTTTGTAGGGTTTTGAATTACTGCTTTCCGCCTTGGGCGATCCCTCAGAAAGAGTTGTTAGTGCAACACATCAAGTATTTTTACCAGCTTATGCTGCCTGGACAACAGAACTTGGGAATTTACAGTCTCATCTTATACCTACACTCCTGAACAAGATTGAAAAGCTTCTCAGAGTGAGTTCTTCCTTTGATTATTGAATTTAAAGCATTTTAAAGGTTTCGTTCTAGGTCATCATAGACAAATATTGATGAGCAGAGACATAATGTACCATTTAGCTGTAATTCTGTAAAGATTTTATTAGCCAAAGCAGGTTTGAGAAACTCTTGCTGTATTAAATGAAGCTAGAAGAGAAAGGGCACAACCACCACTTACTGGCTGAGGCAGGTCCTTCCTGGAAAGAACTCAGACATTATTCAGAAAGCTAGCTCTACCTTAGCCCTGAGAGGACTCAACTATTTTATATGAAACATCAGCTCTAGTTCCAGAATGCAGAGATGACAACTCCGAATCTCTGTAGCCTTCTTATTTGTATGATGTCAGACTTGCTTTAATTATGCTTACTCCTTACTACAGTACATACTTCTTAAAGAGAACCTTATTCTACTCAGGTAAAAGAGCTGAAGAAAAATTGACGAAATAATAGAAGCTTCTTGCCTGACTTTTGTTCTAAGTGTTCTTTTAGAGGCTTACAGAGAAGCTAGTATTTCTTGCATGCCTATATGTACCATTAAGGTTGATACTTTAGATATAAAAATCCTGTTTCCTTCTTAGAACTCTTTGAGCTGTATTTTGTGTTTTATATGGAAATTGGGACTTGGTACTGAAGTAACTTGTCAGGTCCCATAGTTGTCATATGACAATTGATACTTATCTCTGACTCCAAACTCACATCCTTTCTGCTTCAGATTTTTGAAGGACCTATAAGACTTTTATCATAAATCTTGTAACTATTCAGTAGATGCTCTCATATGTACGTACATGTATTGGTTTATTCTAAAAATTGCACTGTTCTTTGTAAACATCAGTGGGCATTGTGAAAAAATATAAACTGTTGGACTGAAGTACCTTAAAGTATTTTTTAAAAGTGTATTCTTTCTGAGAATTACCCAAACCCTTTTTTCATACGTTGTGGCATGATTAATTCCACATTACTTCTGAAAAGTGTCTGCAGTATTCTGCTTAGTGATATTTTTGTAAAGGAATTAACTTATTTATAATTTAATAGTGAGTTTTATATTATGATACAATTGTTATTTTCTTATGTAATAATGACATTTCAAGTGGATTCAAATACAATAGCTAAGTCTTTGGGGTTTTTTGTTTTTTGGTTTTTTTTCCTTCACTATGACATTTGGTTTCTAAGTGTCATGCTCATCCTTTTCTTCCCTTTTCTGTCATCTTTTTGTTCCCTTTTGGATTTCCTTCTATTTATCATCATCATTATTATTATTATTATTATTTTCCTTTGAAACAGAGTCTGTCAATGAGCCAAGAGGTCATTTGGTCTTTTTGAAACAGGGTCTCCCCTGTAGCCCCAGCTGGCCTGGAACTCACTATATAGACCAGGCTGGCCTCAAACTCTCAGAGATCTGCCTGCTTCTGCCTCCCAAGTGCTGGGATTACAGGGGTGTGCCACTCGCCCAGCTCCTTCTACATTTTATTTATGTATGAAATATTTTATAGTGCTTTCAATATTTTCAAATACAACTATCATCAAATATAAGAGAATTTAGTTAGGAAGAAAAAAAATGGCCAGTGCTGCTGCAAGGTTAGCAGTTGAGCATTAAGTACAGCTCCTGTGGCTCAGTTTATTTGTTCTGTCTTGCAGAATTTCAAAAGATAAGATACTCCCTAAAAGAAAAAAAAAAAGTATCTATAAGAAATATTCCCTACATGGGAAATGATTGCCCTAAAATCTTTTTATACTTATGGATGCTAATATGTCTATAGTAGCTTCTTACTTGTCAATGGTTTTATTGGATATCTCCATTAAGTGCTGTTTTAAGTCCAAAATAGAAGTCCTTAAATGTTTATTTGCCACAGAAAGGAAAGCCATCATAGAAGCCAACTTGTAATTTCAAAAGACTAAAATTATCTTCCACCTCCTTATGTTTCAGGAAGGAGAACACGGGCTGGATGAACATAAGCTCCACATGTATCTTTCTGCTTTACAGTCCTTGATCCCATCTCTCTTTGCATTAGTACTGCAGAATGCACCTTTCTCCAGCAAAGCCAAGCTGCATGGTGAAGTCCCACAGATAGAAGGTACTGAACCGAATTCTGGGAGGGTGTAGAATATTAGCTGTCTAGCTTCCTAAAGAATTATTTTTAATTAAAATTCTAAAAATTATTGTATTGCAGCATAGTTACTAAAATGTATTATGTTTCGGGTCATGTGTTCATAAATATATAATACCTCAGATAAACTCTAGCTTCATCTTTTATGGATTAAAAGTCTCATTAGATTATTCTGTAATATCCATACTTTCTGTTCTTAACCTGTAGGATTTGTTTGTTTGTTGTGTTTTGTCATCATGCCAAATAATAATCCTTTGCTTTTACATCTTGATGACATAACTCTTTAGCTTTCAATTTAATGACAATGTTGTATCCTTAAGTTGAATTACAATATGTTTAAGTAAAAATTTATTCTATCATCATTTAAGAGATATCCCGATATATTTTAGAACTTGGATTCAGAGAGAAGTGAAACACATCAAAGATTCCTAGCATCTTTTGAGACAGTCTTCCTGTAGCCCCAGCTGGCCTGGAACTTGCTCTGTAGACTAGGTTGGCCCCCATTTCACAGAGATCCATGTACCTTTGCCTCCCGAGTTGTGGGATTAAAGGAGTGTGCCACCATGCCCAGCTTTATATGTTTTATTGCTAATAAAATGAAATATACTCTTACTTTACCAGTTTGTGTTGCTAGCTGATTAAAATAGTGTTCATATTATAGTTAAGAGGCTGGAGAAATGGCTTAGTGGTTAAGAGCACTGGCTGCTCTTGCAGAGGACCCAGGTTTAGTTCCCAGCACCTACATGGCTTCTAACAACTATCCATAACTCCAGTTCTAGGGAATCCAACACCCCATCTGGCCTCGACAGCATGTGGTACACTTACATATATGCAGGCAAAACATTCATGCACATAAAATAAATTTTTTTTTTAAATCAAGACAGATTGGAGAGATGGCTCAGTGGTTAAGAGCACTGGCTGCTCTTACAGAGGACCTGAATTCAATTCTCAACACCCACATGGCAGCTAACTGTCCATAACTTAAGTTCCAGGGGAATCTGATGCCCCCTTCTGATTTCCACAGGCATTGTACAACATGAGGTGCACCTACCTACCTGTAGGCAATACACTCATACACATAAAATAAAAATAAAATAGGGGCTGGAGAGATGACTCAGCAGTTAAATGCACTGACTGCGCTTGCAGAGGGTCCGGGTTTGATTCCCAGCACCCACATGGCAGCTACGAACCATCCTTAACTCCAGTTCCAGGGGAATCCAAAGCCCTCTTCTGACCTCCGTGGCATTGCACAACACAGGTGCACTCACATACATGCAGGCAATACATTCATGCACCTAAAATTAAAATAATAAAATATTTTAAAATAAAAAATCGAGACATGTACTTGACTTGATAGGCCTTAACATATCTGACAAAATGAATAAATCTGGTGAGGAGAGTTATGGGCAATGCAGATAGTGGAGGTGGTCTAAATATGATTAAGATGTATTGTATGAAATGCACAAAAATTTGATAAAAATATTTTTTTAATATTTTTATTATTTTTATGTGTATGCGTATATTGCCTGCTTGTAGGTAAGTGCACCCATGTCGTGCAGTGCCCGTGGAGGACAGAAGAGGCTGTCGGATCCCCTGGAACTGGAGTTACAGACAGTTGTTAGCTGCCATGTGGGTGCCAGGATTCAAACCCAGGTCTTTTGCAAGAACAACCAGTGTTCTTAACTGCTGAGACATCTGTCCAGCCCCAATAAAAATGTATATTTTTTAAAAACTATAGGTCTGTAGCCACAGAAAAAAAAATGTCACAGTTAAGTAGATCAATTTTCTGTGTCTTCTAAGTCATTCAAATTTCTTGTCTGTAATGACTGGGTTATCCTCATAATTCCCTATTTCCCATCATCATTTTGTTTATATCTATTGGACTTAGATTTAAACCTTTGATCTCACCCTTCTTATAGTAAGTTCAATACATCTATTTTGCTGTTACATTATTTTCCTGTAACATGTCAATAATTTTGAAAGAACAGCATTCACCCATCGCAGTATAGCAGATTATGACCAATATAATAGATCCCTGTTTGAAATTGTATCAGATATGCTTTGATGTGATACAGAAATATTAAGTACAGCTGGGCATGGTGGTGCATGCCTTTAATTCCCACACTCAAGAGGCAGAATCAAGCAGATCTCTGGGAGATTGAGGCCAGCTAGGGCTACAGGGATACTGTGTCTCAAAAAGACATCCTCCCCCCCCCAAAAAGAAATATTATTTATAAATATGCCTCATTATCCAAACTCTGATTTCCGAGTTATAGTAGTGAGAGATCAGATAGTGAGGGATACCATACTGTTGCGCATTCTCGTCAGACCAGCTGTGAAGACCCTGACCTGGATTGGGTCCCCTGCCAATTAGGGGGATGGGGGCAAGAGGTGCAGAGTCAACACACAGACACCAGGAGTCAGGTAGAAGCAAGCACTAGATGAGGTGCTGCAGGCTCATTTAATGCAGGAGGGGGAAGGCCTTGTATTTCCCTTTTCTCCCTTTAGTCAGCGTATCATTTTCTGATTGGTCCGCACCATGCAGTCTGTCAGCAGTCACTAGGCTCGGGAGCAGGGTACGGAGGCACGGGCTCCTTTTCGTGGGCAATTTGCGGACCAGGAAGTGAAGTGAATTCTCTCTGAATCCCAGGGCTCTGAGTCCGTGCCATCCTTGGAGGCCTCCTGCTACATTTCCACCCTTTTTCTTTAAAAATGACTGTTCAGCAAGAGCCTGTACATTTCCACCCTTTTTCTTTAAAAGTGACTGTCCAGCGAAAGCCTGTAGGCAGCTCTGCCTCAGGATGACCCCAGGATCATGGACTGTGACTGTCTTAGATTGTCTGTCTGGGCATGAACCTTACCCATCATTGGAGCATGGGTGTACATGTCCATGTCCTGGCTTAGGTTGATTCAGCCCAACAGGAGCTTACCTGTCATTGACTACCAGCCCTCCAAGGGGTATTGTCCTGGGGAATCAGTTGAGGTGGGGAATTATCTGTAGGAGGCCTCGTACATTTGTGCGAGCCAAGACTATTGGGCTGCGTAGGGCGGGTTGAAATCATCTTCGTGTATTGCTCTGAGGGCCTGATACACTGAGTAATTGAATTTTTTCTGACTGCGGGAACGAAGAACAAGGCGTTTAAGAAGTAGAAAGAGAAGAATAATTATGCCTGTCAGGAGTAGGTAAGTGACAATCCAAGACAGGTCAAACAGCGCTTTTAGATTAGACCAGATTTTCTCTAAGAACCCTGAATTGATGTCCAGCGTAGGGGCACAGGTATAATTTAGAGCAATAATTTGATTAGTTAGTAATATAGAGTAATGAAGAAACTTTTGATTCCAGTGGCCATGAATATAGTGTGTGAGTTGTAGGCGTGATTCATTAATATTCTGTACTTTATGGGGGTGAGACAAAGTGACCTAAAGCAAGGGTCACAAGCTAGCAGAGCCATGTCTTTGGTAATTGCCAGCTCTTCAGTTAAGAGATCAGTTTGTTGTCGTAATACATTAATTGCCTGATGAAGATGCTGATTGATAAGAGACTGAGTGTGAAAGGTAGAGGAAGTTTTGGACATGACTTCGTTGAGTGTCTCCACAGTAGTGGAGGATTAGGTGATAGACACCGCAGCGGTGGCGGCTGCACCTAATGCAAAGATGATGGCTGAGATGAGAATTGCAGTGACCCTGAAATCCCGTTTTAAGGGGACCCTGTGACAAGGCTGTCCACTCTATGAAGGTGACAGCATGGTGGGTTGCATTGGTGACTGGAACCCAAAGGGCTGCAGGTTCACGCATAAAGAGAACTATGTGAGCGGGATGGGTCCAGCAGGCCGCCAGTACACAGGTGGTGGTGGTATCGGAGCAATTGAGTTGTCCCCAAGGGTCGGAGGTAACATTGGCTAGCAATAAGGCAAACGGGGGCCACACGCAAATGGGGGTGGGTGGCTAGGATGTCGTGTGATGAATGGATGTAAGGATTTTATTTTTGGCACAAGTAGAGGGATTGGTGTTAGTGTAAGTGCCGTTGGAAAGCTGAAGGTCCTGCTATGCCAGTAATGGCCTCATGTCCATGCAGGCATGTGGGCCACAGAGGTCCCAGTTACCGAGTATTGACTCGTGGTTGGTATGGGAGATCTTAATGCCACAGGGATAGATGGGGGCCAGCTGTCTCCAAGATCCTAGGTGGTGATCAGAGGGGGAGTGGCTGAAGTGACAGAAGGGAGGGATGGCATGGTTGGGCTTAAGGAGGCAACTCTGCCACAGTATGGGAAGCGCAAAGAAAAAGGGTGCAAGGGAGCATGTGCGTGGACAGTTGGGGAGTGGTGGGCATAGAATAGCAGAGCAAAATGGGTGCGGTGGGGTGACAGCCCCCTCCACCCCTCCTGCCATGATTGCCCCCAGTGCAGCAAGGACCAAAGCTACATGGGTGTTGTTGAAGGTAGGGCAAAGGCCCTTGAGTTTAAGCATGTAACCTGAGGAGGCACTGCCGGCATAATCTTGGACGGTCAGGTTGAACAGCCCAATGCATGAGGATGAGTTGTTGGTAGTGAAACATAGAGAGTTATTTAGGGACCAGGAGCCATTGAGTGATTCCCAGGAAGTAACTGGGTCCATGGTGGGGAGGCCAGGTGTAGAATTAGTTGAATAGAGGGTGGGATAGGCTGGGGAATGAAGTGATAAGGGCAAGAGTATAGGCAGGGAGGGGACCAAGGCCCAGAGGTCATGGGCCATGGCAGGGGCGGGGAAGAACAAACCAATTATCCAGATAGCAGCAAGGTCTCTGGGTCCTGGGGGTCCCGTTGGTCCATTGATAGTTTCACATCTCTCGCTGGAACCCATACTGGCTTTGTTTCTCTCTGAGGAAACACACAAGCATAGCCTCACCCTCTTGTTAACAAGGGGGCGGGCGGTTGCCATTGACATATTATAGGGGACTTTCCATCTCACTAGTGGCAGGGGTGTAGGCC